ACTAAGAATCCCTTATCGTAATTGTAACGTTTAGATTCGTTGCTCGGTAAAGAAGAAAAGGACCGCGTGAGCTTCGTAATTCTTTCCACTTCTTTCTCTTTCTAAAAATCTCTTCTCTTTCTCTCTCTAATTTACTAAAGTTGAAGAAATGAAAACGGTGAAAAATAAAGAGAGGAAGGCTTTCTAAAGAGAGATGGATGGTCGAATTTGAGCCACCTGGCAAAGATCGGAGGAGACACGTGGAGCTGACCATGGGACCAACACAATAAGGTAAGTCATCCGACATGACAGTCACTCACGTCGAAGTGGTTACGCGAGTGCGGGTCGCGAACTACAAGGATTTTTCCTACCTTTTGTTGCGCCGATTTGTCGATTCCTTCTGTTCTTTCTAAAATCGTTATAAATAATTTTTCGAAAATAGAAAAATGAATAAAATTATTTAAAATAATGTAATTCAAAATACCAGTAGCTTTAAATATTAAGAGATTTTAAATGGTCAATGGGACCCAAAATAATAGAGTTTGACATCTCAATTTATCACAAAAGTTTGAAGTGTCACATTAGCGGTGGTTTAATTTAACAATTATAGAGCAATCGAATAGTTGTGTCTTAATCATAAAGTAGTAGTCACTTAATTTCAACAATTATAAATTAGTAGGTTAATAGTTTTCTTAGTAGTTAGTGCTTATTTATGTTTTGTAATATTTATTTATTTTTGACATATTTAAGCTGACTGATTTCATCAATAAAAATTACCTAAGTTCAGTTCAATTCTTATATACATACAGTTTGTGTTACTGTATAATTAATGTCAATCTTATAACATAAGCTAATTAATTTAAACTAACAGACTTTACTACCTAAAAGAATAATGGAGTAATATTGAAACGAAACTATCCTAATAAAGAAGTTTAAAAGTTTTTTTTCGAAAACTCAAAGAGCAAAGTTTTGTTTTTCAACTTTTTCATATTTAATTTTCAAAAATAACCAAAAAGATATTTTTCATACGTCAGATAAAAAATAGTCTTTTGAATTATAATATTCCAAAATAATGATTTAAAGTGGCGGAAACATATAATTTACATTCACATAAAAAATTATCTTTCGCTTAAAAAAATGAACTTCTATACTAAAAGAAAAGTACAAAAATAAAATTCTTTTAACTAGTAAAAGTCAAAATCTAGGCCAAGTTCATAAGTAAACGTAACCAACTTATAACATAATAAAAAAGTTGTTTTTATTAAGGGTGAGACAATTTTATAACTTTTATGCTTAATCCACATAAACTAAGCATGAAACTTATTTATACTTTAAAAATAAAAGACTATGTATACAAAGTAAATGCAAAATTAAGATGTGTAACAATAACTGAGTGTTAGTAGAAAGTGCGTGATAATTATTAATTAAAGCACAAATATCTAAGACTAAAGCAAATTGTATTTGAAAGCAATGAATAGAAGTTTCTAAATAAGTTTATGAAAATTAACTAGAATTTTTACCAAATCCCATGAAGCTAAATATAGACACTACCATAAATCTTCGAAAAACTTTGGAATTTTAGCAAAATACAAATTTGTCTATTTTAAGGAATAAAATATGCTCCATAAACTTCAAAGAGGAGATCAGTTTCTTTCTCTCTTCTTTGTCTCTGAAGGATGCACACCTCCCGTTATCAAACATTTTGATTTTCTTTGATTAATTATAAATTCTAATATCCTTGAAATTTAAATTTAAAAAAAATGATAACAAATTTATAAAGATATAATATACTTATGTAGTTCAATTATTTCTTTAGTTAAATATATAAGAGTAAATCAAATTTATAAATATTGAAAATAGATATGTAGTTATATTTCTTTTAGTTAAATTTTATTTTTACCTTCATAAATAATAAAAACATTCGAATGTTTTACCATAAAAGTTATGATCTTAGCGAAAATACAATTGTATGAATTAATATTAAAAATGAGTAAGACACATTCGAGCTGATAAAAATCAAATTACAAAAGTAAATATACGAATAACTGTTAAACTGTTAATAATAAATATATATATATGTATGTATATGCTCATGGTTTTGCATGCATAAGAGCAGTATTTTCACAATTGTTTAGATATATAGGAAAAAATGTGAAATTAGATATGTGAAATCTCACATTAATTTTGTGGGATATAACAATTATAAATATTTTTTTTAACCCTAATCCAACTAAAAGAAAATCTCAATTATAAATGTTGGTTCAAATAAAAGAAAATGGTTACAAAAAAGGGGGCAAAATAATTATAAGGATAACAAAATTTTGTCTATAACCAATAGGTAACTAAATTGATTAATTAAAAATATTTCTTATTTTTCTTGTGTGTTTGCAGTGCTGCAAATTCAATAGAATTCATTTCCTCACGTATCCTCCTAATTAGAAATTTGTATACCTTTCAGTTTCATGGACTATTCTATTTGCTCTTTGAATTATCTTAAGATGGTTTTAATAGGATAAAATCTTCACCTTCTCTAAAGTTTAAGAAGTTTTTGATAGATTCATGGGAGAAGTTTCTGAGAAGATTAAAGGAAGAAGCAGAGAAGAAGTCTATTAATGGAGAAGGGTTTGTTCAGGACTCTGTAAATAAAGCTTCAAATGATCCAAGAATGGCGGTGGAAGAGATGGAGGTTTATTTTTTGAAATTCACTGTGAAAAATAATAGGAAAAAAAAGGATTAAAATCGTTATCAAAATTAACATAGTTTCCTTCAAGTTCATCATTGGTACTACCTGTTAGCTTTTTCGCCTATAAGTTTCATACCATTAAACCAGGAACCCTAGTTTATTTGTTTTCTATAAGCTTAAGACTGAAATGTGTTCTTTTTCTTTTTAATTCTTTTTTATCTATAGAGAGAGGTGGAGACAAGAAAGGAGGAAAAAGAGAGATTTCTAGAGAGAGAGTGTCATTTTTTTAATTCTTTTTTTAATGAATGTTTTGCAAAAATAACTGAAAATTATTTAAGAAATGAACAACAAAAGAGTAATCCTAAGTTGTGATAGTCCGCAGTCCCACCGGGAAACCACGATTGTCAAACATCAACTAATTTAGAGAATTTGTTGATCACAATACATAAAGTAATGCAAAAGCATAACTTACTTATCCTTGTACAGTGTAATAATAATTTACAGCTCATGAGGTATCATAACTTGCAGAATAAAAAACTAAAATAAACTTACCTAAAGAGAACCACAACGAAATTCTGATTTGGCTACTACATATCCCTGGTATGAAAAAATGATAATATGAATGGAATGGGCAAATTTTAACGCACTTAATAAGTATACATGTAATGCCCCAAGTATGCACACAGCAAGCAATCACACAATGATGTAAAACTGGTTTTATCTTTTTAAGAAAATAATGAGTTTCAAATAATAGTGTTATAAATTCTAAGCTATAAGCTGAGAATTTACGTTCTTCTATAGTTGCTTTGGTGTTGTTGTAGTTTTTCTGTTTTCCTACAGTTTTTTCTAATTTTTAATTGACTATCCTAATTGTATGCACAGTATTTAACAGAACAAGTACCATTGAGAGATCTAGATCCCCACTTTCTCATGGGTAGGGACACAACGATCATGCACAGACTATTCACAACAGTACTTAGCAAGGTGACCCAAACAAAGATACGCATCCCAACCACGTCTGAAAAAGTTTTCATCCACTCATAAGAAGGGTTCATCCACCGTTGAATTTCAGTTACACTATTCTGAGGCATATTTACAGTGTTGCTTTAAGATGTTCTTTTTAGTTTTGTTTTATTTGTATGATTGTTTTGCTTTCTTGAGTTTTATTCGAAGACTTCACATTTCTTATCGACTAAACCTTATTTCATTTAGTCTTCCTTACACTTTAAACTCAATCATTCTGTTTATCTTATTTTCCTCTTAAATTCATGCATTTTAATTAATCCAAGTATTATTCATTTGAGTGGTTTCAGATTTGTATTTATCATAAAAATTTAGATCTAAGATGGTATTATTTTATGTATTTATTATTTGATTTATTTTGTAATTTGTTCTTTTTGTTTAAGTCATTGTTTCCATTTAAATCTCTTATGTGATAATTTATTTTCATTAAACTTCCTAAATTTCAACGATAATACTTCGACTAATCTGCCCTTACTTTCATTTCCTTTATTTAAATTCCTTCTCAATTTACCCAATTTGATTAAGTTAAGTTTATTTTATTTGGTGTAGGTTTGGTTGGTTTTTAATTTGTTTAATTTATTGCTTAAATTTTATCTTGAAAATTTTATAGTTCCTGGCATAACTTACCTATTCAGCTTGTTTTAAATTCTTTTATTACATAAACTTTCTATTTTAACTTATTGCTTAACTAATCTAAAGTCCTTTATTTTATTTAATCTAGAACCTAATTTTTCAAACATAATAATTAATTTATTTCTAACATACCCAAAAATTAACCAATTCTTTAAACCTATAAATTTTTTAATTAATTTATTCAAATTATTGTTTTAGTATAATTTTAATTTTTTTTATTTTGATTTAAATTGTTGATATTTTTACTACTTGATGTTTAAAATATTTTTTTTATTGTTGGTTAAATTATTTTTCTTTCCTAAATAACTACAATTAGTTTAATGATTTACAATTTAAATCATTACTAGAACACCCTTTTTGCCATTTTTATTTTCCAATTTAAACCATTAAATAAACCTATTCTTGCATCTATTTAAAATTTATCTCTAAAACATTCAAACAATCATCAAATTATCATCAATCATCAATCACAACTTAAATAGAGAACATACATGCAAGATAATCGATCAAGCAGCTTGCAAATGTGAAGAAATTTAATAAAATACAGTTCTTAAAGCTTTTTTTAGCATGATTACCAACATATGTTTAACCGGTTCAAATTCAATCCAAATGATGTTAGTTTTTTATTTCAAAACATGCATATGAAACTTAGAGATTACTACTACGCATACTTAGAAACTTCTTCGCAAAAAGGACCGATTTAGGGCTCTAAATAGGTCCCCAAAGTTGCTTTGGAACCGGACAAGAAAGCAGGTGTCTCGGGTCAGTGATGAACCTAAGATTTTCATGCAAGTTGTCTTGCATTAAATGTCAATTTTACATTTTTTAAAACCTTGGTGCGTGTTCTATGATGTATGAACAATTTTTTGATCCAAGATTTTAGGCTAAATGGAAGACAAATGCAAAGAAAAATGCTTCTAGAGAGTTGGTTCGGTAATGTGACCAACAGAACCGGGTTGGCAGCTCGCTCGAAATTTTGGCATGTTTGTTGATGATTTTCAAAACCTGAACATGCGTAGAGGTGTTAGACGGTCAGAAGAATTAATATGAGGGATAAATTTTGGTTTTCGAGTGAAAAATCTCACCGAATTTCAAAGTCGGGTCATGCGCGAGCCGGTCGCAATCCGATGGAACCCAGGCTATTTCCGATTTCCCCATGCCGCACGACCACAAGAGACCATGGATTGCTCGAATACCTGCGGTGGTCTGGTGGTGCTCCCTCACATTTCCTCTCCTTTTCCCTCTTTCTCTCTCCCCAATGACTCTCTCTCCCACTTCTGCAATTTTTCCCTCTTTGGTCGAGGAAAGAAAAAGAAAATTGATTTTTTTTTTATTTATGGGCAGGGATCTTCAATTTAAATCGAGCCGTTTATTTTCATGGAATGGGTTTGGGCTGTACGATTGATTTAAGTGGGAAGGGCAGGATTGGAATATCGCGTGCGAAGGAAATCGGGCCATTGGATTGCTGACAGGAACGATCTGGCCCGTTGAACATGCCCCCTCACACGTGGCCGGCGCTGACACGTCAGAACTGCGTGCTTTGGCTTCCTTTAATTGCGTTTTGACCCCAGACATTTATTTAATTTAGAAAAGACCCCAAAATGTTTTTATTTAGTTATTTTGGGTCCCTAAAATTAAGTATTGACATATTTTGGGATAATTTTCAATCTTCATAATTTTCTTGTGGTTTAAATATTATTTATTTTACAATATTTATTTGACTAATTAACTAAAATTAATATTTCCTAATTAATTTTTTTATTTAAATTCATTTATAAATTTGTTTGCCAATTTAATTTTTTTTATCAAACTATTATTTTTAATATTTTCTAAATATTCTTAATTTAATTTGTTTTACAAATCATGAGTTTTAACTATTTGTAAAGTCCTTTTCTAATTTATTTTAGTTATCTAATTTAAATACTTCTTAATTAATTTTAATTCAATTAATTTTCAAATTTGCTTGTTAATATGAATTTATTAAATTATTGATTTTAATATTTTCTAAATATTTTTAGATTAATTTATTTTACAAATTACGAGTTTACACATCAAGGGTCATGCAGAAAAAGATATCAAACTAATGAAAAGAAGAAGACAAATCAAAACTGAGTCTTTTTCCTGTCTTGTAGACTATCTTACTAACCGCACAAGGCAATTTAATACCAAACCAAAATCATGTAGAAGAGTATAATGTGAAGACTAAAAAGCTAAAATTTGTAAATTTTGCAATCAACAAGAGTCATTATTGTGTATGTCAGAAGTACAAAACGATCATTGTCCCCAAATGACTTATTGCATAGGTGAAATTAACACCAAAAATGAGGTTTCTACATTCAGAAAATTTTTATACTTCACTTCACATTTTGTCTTGTCTTGATCATTTATTTTAAGGTTGCTAGCCAGAAGTTGCATTCATTCCAATCACTGGTGGTAAAAAGCACCTGTTGTAGACCAAAACACAACAATAATACTATTTTCAATTGCCAACACTCATATACAAGTTCATAATAATAATAATAATAATAATAATAATAATAATAATAACGATAATGGTGATGATAAATCTTGTATTTTTAGAAGTTCAACCTATTTTTGTAGGGTAGTACTGAAATCGTTATTGTCCAAAGCCTGGCAAAGCTTAACAAGCTTATCAGCTGCATTTTTAAAAATTTCACTACCGTTGAATTTAGCAAACAAGGCACTTATTTTCCTTGAATTCTCTTCTATTTCACGTTTTTTCACTAGATTTACATAGGAGCCTCCAAGTGCTTCCGATGTTTCATTGAAAAGTCTTGTCAATGTTATAACAACAAGCTTTTAGTGGGCTGTAAAAAATTATTAGCAAAGTAGCAATATTATTATACTAAGGAAATAAGGAACTGCATTTCAATAGTTATTATCATCTTGCATAAACCTAACACAATAAATTGAATTGACAAGGTTTTATTGCCTTATATTCTTCCGAATATATCCATTAATCATCATTCAAATCTTATGGGATTTATTATGTGAGAAGCTCCATAGCAATACATAACAATAGTATAACATATAGGACTTATAGCACATTGTTTATCTCCATTTTAGACTATATTCTAGAAAGAGACATTTGAAAGACTCAATTAGACTATATTTGATAGACTGAGAAGATGATCAAAGGCTAAAGCTTGCATAAAGGAAAACTAGAGAAATTTTTAATTTCCTAAATGCAAAAACAAGGATTGTTTTGGATGTTCAATACTTTATTTATTTTTGAAATATATAGTGTTATTAGGCATCCACACATGAATTTGTTGGAGGTAAATCCCATACATCCATATCCCATAACATAGACTAAACTATAGCCTACACAAACTAATTATAAGCCACAAACTTCATATAAAGCTCAAACTCATAAGTAGAACAATCAACTTCAACCAATAATAAATACCAAAAAATTTACAAAAAGTCTATTAAAAGAATGCAGGAGCACAGAATACCTGAGGAACCTACTAAGACTAGGGAGGCATAAACATGGTATATGGCTATTGAGTCAGATATGATGTGAGAGGATTAATGTATCTGAGAGCTTTGTGATTGAGAATTGTCAAAAGCCATAGTATTAGTTTCTTTTTCTGCATCAGTTAGCACCAAAACTGCATCAATAAAAGGAATATTTTGCATGATAGCTAAATTGTGACATCCCAAGTGCCAATTAAGACAAATGAGTATCAGGTACAGATTCAGAATAACGAGTGCATAATAATATTTATGCAGTAAAGTTAAACCTTAACAAATCCTTACAAATATATATAATGTTCTAAATACATACATAAATTGAGGCTAGAAGTGGCAACAAAATACAAAATATAAGGGTCACTTCTTTCACTATGCTACTAGAATTCATCAGAGTGCAGGAATATACATGCACTCAGACTTGTGGATCCACGGGATCCTCATAGACTTCCAATGGTATGTTTGCTTGTGGTTCCTCATTTTTTTCCTCATGTGGGGGAGATGGAAATAGTGAGTTCCATTTGCTGAGCAAGGAAAACAGTATTAAATTAATATCATAAGATTTCAAAAGGTTATTATTTTATCTCACCATTTAGTTTCCTTGTTCGCCTAACTCATCATTAGGAAAAATTATTTATTTGCATATCAAACTAGTACGTTAGCACAGAAAATCAAATATACATATATTATGCCAAATAATAGAGAAAATCAAATAAATCATAAAATGCACAAATTTTTCGTGTCATGTTTCGCGAAATCGTTACAAACTTCCATCTCTGAAGGCAGATACAGATTTCTAACTGCCTATGTAGAATGACCAGATCAGATATAGATACGACAATTTGCTCATAGTCACTTCTAGTTGGCTAAACTATGGTATGATCTATGATCACGGTCGTATCAACCATAGTAGTCCTAACAGATATCTATAGTCACGACATTACTTAGCCACGGGTGACCCCTACAAATAGTATGATACCACTCTCGTCAGAGGGCACGCCATCATCCACTAGGAGTAGTCCTCTTATGTTTTTCTAGACCAGATAGGGGAGGGGAAAACAGATACCCCGAAGGGTAAGGGGAACAGATACCCTGAAGGGTAAGGGGAACAGATACCCCGAAGAGTAAGGAGAACAGGTACTCCGAAGATATAAAAAGACTAATGAGACACTTGATGCAATATGTTTGTCAATACAAATACACTTCAGATCACACAGGCTTCATTTCACTTTTCTCTTTTTCTTTTATTTCACTTTTATTATCACGAACTACATATTATATTTATTACATGTAAATTCATCAAATGTCAGTAAATCACACAGCATACTTGAAAATCATAACAATTCGACTCATTTGAACATAGAGACATGCAAAATAAGCAAAATAACAATCATATTAAATTTTTTTATCTAAAAATACTCATTAAGATGTCAAAAGTAATACTAGATTCCTTACCGAAACCTTGATATTTTCTTCTTCACTATTTTTCCTTCTTTCTTTTCTTCTCTCACTAATTTACTATCTCTCTCTTTCTCTCTAAACTTTTGAAAAATGGAAGAAATCGAAGTGTGGAGATGAAGGGGAGGAGAAGGGCAATTTATAGAATTTTATAACTGTTGGATTCTCGCCAAGTTGCGAAATTCGATGAAAAGAGTAGAGAAAAAGATTCTTGGCATGAAAAATAAGGAAGGAAAATTTCCTCCATCGGCGGCGGCAGCGTGGCACCCAAGGCATTGGCGGTGCACTAATAGAGGTGGCAGTGTCCAACCGACGGGTTGCAGGGGCACAGGCCTGCTTTCGCGTGCGCAGGGCCTTAGCGCACTGGGCACCACGTGTACAGGCCTATTGCGCTCAGGCCCCAGGAGCACAAGGCCT